ATAAACATCTCACACCATAGCTAGAGTAGTATTGAATATGATTTGTTTCAAACTACATATGCTTTACACTCTGCACCTCCACCCAGGGATTCTCATATGCCCTTTTAGATGGTCATGCTCTTAAGGAAGGGAATCACTAGTTTAAAGAAAAGTAGCAAAATATAGCTGAAATTTCTATTTTTCCTTCTGTTCTATATAGGAACTTTGAAAGAACTTTCTGTATATTCATTCATTCATGCATTTAGCAAATGTGGATTGAGCCTACTGTATGCAAGCTCTTTATGATACAAAGATGAAGGTGATAGAGCCGTTACCTCAGAGAGCTCACATTTAGTCAATGAAATAAACATATGAACAAAGAATTATATGCATTGTGCTATGTATGCATGTATACGGTCCCAAGGGAGCCCATAGGAAGGAGCCTCAAATTGTGACTGAGAGAGTTGTTAGGTAAGAAAGACTTTACAGAACTCAAGAAAAGGTTTAAACACAGATTAAACACAGAAGAAAACATTCTTTGATGGTTACAAGGGTGGGGATGGAGGGAGGGGGTATTCACTAACTAGATAATAGACAAGAATTATTTTAGGTGAAGGGAAGGACAGCACACATAGGGGAAGTCAGCACAACTGGACTAAACCAAAGCTAGGAAGTTACCTGAATACAACCAGACACTTCGAGGGACAGAGTAGTAGGGGCAGGGGTCTGGGGACCATGGTTTCAGGGGACATCTAGGTCAATTGGCATAACAAAGTTTATTAAGAAAATGTTCTGCATCCCGCTTTGGTGAGTGACGTCTGGGGTCTTAAAAGCTAGCACGCGGCCGTCTGATATGCATCAATTGGTCCCAACCCACCTGGAGTAAAGGAAAATGAAGAACACCCCGGATGCAAGGAAGGTATTAGTCTGAGAGACTGAAAGGGCCACGTAAACCAGAGACTTCATCAACTTGAGACCAGAAGAACTAGATGGTGGCCAGCTACCACCAATGACCACCCTGATAGGGGACATAACAGAGAGTCCCTGATGGAGCAGGAGAAAAGTGGGGTGCAGAACTCAAATTCTGGTAAAAAGACCAGACTTGGTGGTTTGTTTGAGACTGTAGGGACCCCAGAAGACATGGCCCCCAGACTCTCTGTTAGCCCAGAACTGAAATCATTCCCATGGCCAACTCTTCAGACAAAGATTAGTCTGGACTCTGGGACATAAAATGATACTTGTGAAGAGTGTGCTTCTTAGCTCAAGTATATACATGAGCCTAAATGGGCAGCTCCTGTCTGGAGGTGAGATGAGAAGGCAGAGAGGATCAGGAGCTGGTTGAATCGACATGGAAAATCCCGGGCAGAAAAGAGGAATGTGCTGTCACAGTATAGGGAGAGCAACTAGGGTCACATAACAATGTATGTATAAATTTTTGTATGAGAGACTAACTTGAATTTTAAACTTTCACTTAAAACACAGCAATAAAAAAAGAAAGACTACATAGAACGTGATATTTGAGTTAGCCCTGAAAAATGAGATAGGAGTCTGCCAGATTGAGAGACATTTGTCTCTATGGCTTATTCCTGGCACACTGGAAGTTAAGTCTTCTTACTTTCTATTTTTTAGACTTCTTATAGCTTAATATCCATATAATAATTATAAATTTTATATATTGACAACTCTGGCCAGGGAACCTAAATCATTAGCAAATTCACATATTAATCCATTAACAATAAAAGTTCATCATATTACCTATGATATTCTGACTTTTGCTTTTACTGATTACCTGTGGTTTTGAATCAGCAGAGTAATTTGTATTTCATGTTGGATAACTCTTCACACTCTCATTATATATTTGTGTGAGTTTATATGGTTAGGACATAAATACTTATTAAGTTGTTTGGACCTAATTACTTAATAAATGGAATAGGTATTTCTTTTGGCCTAGGAACATCATGAAAAAACTATTGAGACACTAAGGGCGCTATAAACCCAGAGTTTTGGGAATCTCTGTTCTATATTGTTCCAATCATGGGGATAATAAGACAAACACATTTGCAGTAGAAATGTTTAACCTATATAAAAAGACCCCGAGATTCATTTGACTTCAGTGTGAGATTTTTAAATATGTGAAATACTTCTGTTTTTTACAATATGGAGAACTAGAAAAAAATCCTGAAAATCTTTAACTAAGAAACAGTAAACTGCATAAAATACACAGTTATCTGATAAATAATTTAAAGATACATTTAATGTGATTGAAGACATAAAAGGGTCCCAAAACCATGAGCAAGGAACAAGAGACCAAAATAGAACAGGCGTATTTTTAAAAGAACGTTTTAGAACTTTTAAAAATAAAAATATAATCTCTAAAGTTAATATCTTAATAGACCAATTAAATTGTAAACAGATAGAGCTTAAGAGAGAATTTAAACACTGAAAGATAGAGTTTAAGAAGTTACTCAGAGTACAACACAAAGAGATAAAGAGTAGAAAATATAAGAGAGATAAAAGACAAAGTCAGAAGGTCAAGAGGCCACAGTTGATATCTAAGACTTCTTTTTTCACTACCCATTCCATATTCCTTTGCCCTCAGCCAGAACCTCAGCTGGTCAGTGTTCTTTATTGGCTAGGATGACCTAAACCTTAATTACTAAAGGGTCTGAATCCTCAATAGTTCTTTTTTTTATTGCTACAGTTTTCCATTGACCTTTTCTCTTGGGCATGGAAGTACTAGGAGATGCTCCATTGAATCTCCTGGGTTCCAGACATAGTCCTCCCTGCCACTATTGTGTTTCAACAACCCATTTTCCCCTTGGTAATCAGGATCAATCACTTTAACCAGTAGAGTAAACCCCTTCTTTACCCATTAGTTGCTGGTATGGAGAGCCCAAAATGGCCAAGTGGCAGACTCATTTACCAATTCAGTGGAACCACTGTTGTATTCCCCTGATGGAAGCATTTCCTCCTTAAGATATAACCAACAGGTAGAGCTCAGCCTGCAAGACTGAGAAGTAAAAATTCTGTGAATGGATTATTAGGTATAGTAGTGAGAGGAACTACTCCAACTTTCACGTCTTAATTCCTAGACCATGTGTTTTGAATCTGTGGAAGACAGCACCATATAGTAGTCTCAAATTCAAAGCAGACCGCATCTTGTAAGACTGCATCTTGTAACCCCATCCTTTCAGAGTTTTGCCTCCCAACTGGTGGTATAACTGAGGCTTCACTAAGCCTTTCTGTTAGGCCAGCTGCTTTTGTGTATGTGGTAAGACCATTTCATTTCATGTGTATGATCCCATTGTTTCACTACCTTTGCTATGAAATGAGTTCTTTGATCAGAAACAAGGCTGTATGGAATACCATAATAGTGGATAAGGCTTTCCATGAGTCCATAGATGGTGGTGCTAGCAGAAGCAGTGAACCTTCATTAAGCAGTGCCAGCCAAGACAAAACTACTTAAGGCTGGGGAAGACAAGGTAGTATAGCAGTATACAAAGGAAGGAAAATGAGAACTTCGAGAAAGAATGAGTTGTAAGTAATGCTTTGTTACTATTATTGTATAATGATTACCATCATTATTTATTGAGTGCTAATTGTGTCCTTGGGCATTTTCTATATCTCATTTCATTTAATTCTTACAATCTCTTTATGAGGTAGTTGATATTATCTCCATTTCATCTATGAAGAAACTTAAGGTTTAGAAGAGTTCCAAAAAAAAAAACTTGACTAAAATCGTATAGCTAGTTAATCACGAGGCAAGGATTTTTACCCAAATCTGCCTGATTCCAGTGAAGAAAAGTTATAGAGCATTATTTTTGAACGTATGTATACACAAACATATATATATCCACATATACGTACTATTTTCTTCTTACATGTAATTTGCCCGTCTTAGTCTCTTGTAGGAGCCTTGGTGGTGCAGTGGTTAAGAGCTCAGCTGCTAACCCAAATAAAGGTCAGCAGTTCCAGTCTGTCAGCCACCCCTCGGAAACCCTATGAGGCAGTTCTCCTCTGTCCCATAGGGTCGCTATGAGTCAGAATCAACTCGAAAGAAATGAGTAGTCTCTTGTAACTTCTGTCTTGGAAAAGTAATGAGATGTAGTAGGGAATGCAGCAGATTCTGATCCTTTTTCTGTACTAAACTATATAACTGGAAAAGTTTCTTAATTGCTTTTTTTTTTTAGTGATATATAACTCACATACCATAAAATTTACCCTTTAAAGTGTGCAGTTCTGTGGTTTTTAGTATATTTACAAGGTTGTGCAACCATCACCACTAGTTCCAGAACATTTTAATCACCCCCAAAAAGATGTCCCATATCCATTAGCAGTCATTCCCCTTTCTCCCCTCCTTCCAACCCCTAGCAATCACTAATCTTTCTGTCTCTGTGAATTTGCCTCTTCTGGATATTTCAGATAAATGGAATAAAATAAATGCGTTTGGCTTTGTTCACTTTAGCATAATGTCTTCAAGTGGTAGCATGAATCAGAACTCGATTCTTTTTTATGGCTAAATATATTCTACTGTATGAGTATACCATATTTTGTTTATCCATTCACCAGTTGATGGACCTTTGGGTTGTTTCCACTTCACTATTTGGCTGTTATGACTAAAGCTGCAATGGATATTCATGTAGAAACTTTCGTGTGAACATATGTTTTCGCTTTTGGGGATATACCTAGAGGTGGGTGGAATTGCTGGGTCATATGATAACTCTATGTTTAACCTTTTGAGAAACTGCCGAACTGTTTTTCAAAGTGGCTGCACCATTTTTATATTCCCAGTCTTAATAGCTTTTTAAATTTTATTTCTCTTATCTGTAAATACAAAGGGTGCACTCAGGGTTTTGCTGAGAGAGAGTATTATTCCAAAATATTTTTTTCTATCCAGTTTTAAATATTACATGTAACATTTTTTTGCTAAGCAAAGCAGATTAGTAAAAATTCAGAAGTCAGTGATAACTTTTACTTGCTTTTGTTATGCTGACTTAACAATTCTGTTTTATTTCTTATAGAGAAGCTTGCAGAAGCTCAGCGCAGATTTGCTACACTTCAAAATGAGCTTCAGTCATCACTGGATGCACAGAAAGAAACCACTGGTGTTACCACACTGCGACAACGCAGAAAGCCAGTCTTCCACCTGTCCCATGAGGAACGTGTCCAACACAGGAACATTAAAGACCTTAAACTGGCGTTCAGCGAGTTCTACCTCAGTCTTATTCTGCTGCAGAACTATCAGGTACTTAAATTCTCATCCTGGAGAATGGAATGTTTAAATAACTGAAAAATTCCAATAAATCGAATTACCTTGAACTGTACTGATGACACAGTTCAAAAAGGAAAAGCCTTAGTGTGTTATTTTTCTTAGGGTTCTTATTCAGAATTCATCTATCTTTATTGGCTAAAAGCCATGTATCAGCGGCAGTCAAACTGTGTTAACAAAACTTCTCTTTTTGAAGATCAGTTTTCTAAAAACTTCTTTTTGTACCAAATTCAAGAGTAGACCTTGACTCGTGTACTAATAGTTGGCTTCCTATTTTTAGAGGCAGCTCTGGTAGTGGTGAATAGAAATAAAGAATAATTTATGATTACCCAACCATTGTTGGCTGTGTAAGACCTTTTATATTTTTCTTAACCAATAGCAAAATTTCGACAAAAGCAATTGAACAGTTAACTTTTCTGCAACTGACAGTAATAATACAAAAGGTCCTGACTTTTCAACTTGCCACTAAAAGAATTCTTTAATTTTACGATCCACAGGCTGCAATATAACAGTAATTTAAAAAAAAAAGTCCTTGAGAAAGAAGAAACTAAATCACAGTAAACACATGAAGAGACTAAAAATCTAAGCTATTATGAAATATCACTTACTATTTTAAAACCCAATCTGAAAAATTAAACTTCCATGTATGGTAAATACAGGACTTTTACTCATTTGTAAAGGAGCCTGGGTGGTGCAAGTGGTTTGCCATTGGTTGTTAACCCAAAGGTTGGCAATTTGAACCCACCCAGTGGCTCTGCAGAAGAAAAGGCCTGGCAATCTGTTTCTGTAAAGATTACAGCCAAGAAAACCCTATGGAGCAATTCTACTCTGTAACCCATGGAGTTGCCATGAGTCACTGGGCCGACTCAACTGCAGCTAATGACAACATGTATTTGTAATTCTCTTTAAGATTTGTTTACATAGTTAAATCTATAAAGAATTTAATTGGAAAACATTATTCTTCACTAATAAACATTTAAATGGGCAAGTGCATCTCCCTAATCTTTAGAGAGACCTTATGCATTATTGTTTTTCCATTTTATTCTTGTTGTTACTTACAATCAGTGGTTAAGATCATCATAGGATGATACCCCATATAAAAACTAAAGTTTACAAAACAAAGATATTACCAGGGGTAAATATTAAAATTTTAAAATAAAAAAGTAATTAAAGTCTCTTGTCTGCATTAATGTAAGTTGTTAATGTATGCAGTCTACTTATTTGTATCTTTTCCTTTCATAATTCTGCCTTCTTCTTTGATGATTTAGTATTTTATCATTCCAAGAAGAACCCAGTTGGAAAATAATTTTAGAAGAGTAGAAAAGTAATTAGATAAGATTACTATGTAGTGGAAATTCCTTTGCTTTGAAATTTATCCATAGCTTTATAGTTTAATTTTTTAAAGACATAAACAAAGATACATTTCCTCTTTCCTATAATACTATAAAAATAATGTTTATATCATTGATTATGCTTGTGTGTTACAGGGAAATACCCTTGTTACATTGTTTATTTTAACCTTATTTAACTTTATCAGCAGCTTTTACATGGAGTCATTATAAAAAGTTCCTTAGAAAAACCAACATAATTATTAATTATAAAAATTCTTCCCTATCCTCGATTCTTTGGAGTATCTATTTTGTAAGAATGCATTTCTTTTGAGAATGAGGGAAAAAGGAAAATTCGTTAAAAAACAATCTCCAAGTCATGGTGTATGTGTGCATCTCAAGGAGAGCTTAAGATGATCTATTAAACTATGAGAAAAAAATTATAAACAGGCAAGCCTGTTTTGGAATGTGTGCTCAATACATAGGGATATGTGATCAACAACTCTGGTTTACAGATTCTTGCAAATCCAAAGTTTCCTGCTGCTTTGCATGTTGGGCAAAGAATGATAGAATTTGAAAATGTAGAAAAGTATAGCATTTTTGATACTGTGGAAAAATGAGGAAAGGTGAACACTCCTCCCCATTATCAGTAGATCCCTGTAAGGAGGATCGCTTCTTTTCTACTGACTCTTGTCACTCCCATCCCCAAACTGAGAATGGATGGAAACAAAATGAAAGTTGACAGAACTAGAAGATCTGTCTTTTATGCTGGTATATACATGCTTGCATAAATGGGGGGAATGGACTGCTAAATCAGCCCTTCAAAAAGCATTAAGTTTGTGTTCGGTGTACGATAAATCCAAAATATTTTCTGAAAATGTTCTTTTGACCTGAGCATCAAAATAATATAAATTAGCTATTTTGAAAACAGTTGTACTAGAAGACTGGAAAAAAAATGTTTTGAGTTCAGGACTTTCAATAATTTACGTGGAAATGATGGGTTCATATCAGGGTTTCTTTGTCTTACTAATAGTTAGCATACTACTTAAAATAAGTAAGTGGAATAAGAAGAAGAGCCGTGTCCTTTTAGTGGTAAATGCTTTTATAATGAAAACATTGTCATTTCCCTGAGTACTCAATCTTAGTCCACTCAGCTCTGTCAGTGTATAGTGCTTGTTATTTTTCATCTTCTTTGATGGTGGTAGAAATTATAGTAGTGTTTCTCATTTCTTTCTGTAGAATCTGAATTTTACAGGGTTTCGAAAAATTCTTAAAAAGCATGACAAGATACTGGAAACATCTCGTGGAGCAGATTGGAGAGTGGCTCATGTAGAAGTGGCCCCATTTTATATATGCAAGAAAATCAACCAGCTCATCTCTGAAACTGAGGTACAGCAGTGCCATTTATATAACACATATTTTCAATACATCCATGTTTAATTTTAATGAAAGAATTTCTTGTTTGTTTTCTTTTTGTAATTAGTTGCTAGCTTGAATACATCTAGTCTTACTCATAGTTTTTTTTTTCCTTTTGCTTTATCAGTAAACATTCACAAAGAGGTTACAGAATAACATATATATAAATGGTACAGAATTATTTACTCATCACTCAAATTTAATATAACCCATGTCAAAATTTAATAACTTCTCTTTCTAGGCTGTAGTGACCAATGAACTTGAAGATGGTGACAGACAAAAGGCTATGAAACGATTACGTGTACCCCCTTTGGGAGCTGCTCAGGTTAGTCTTTGCTTCCAGTTGTTTGTTTGATTGGTTGTGTTGGTTTTGCCTGTTTATTTTTGTTTTTGGTTTCAGTACTTAAATTACTTTCATTTTTTTCAGCCAAATTTTATAAGTAGTTGTTAAAATTGTTATTTTGTTTTTAAAAAATTAGATGCCACAACTGGAGTAAACCAAAGCTAAAAAGTTTCCTGAATACAATCAAACACATTGAGACAGGGTAGCAGGGGTAGGGGTCTGGGGACATGCTTTCAGGGGACATCTAGGTCAATTGGCATAACAAAGCTTAGTCAGAAAATGTTCTGCATCCTACTTTGATGAGTGGCATCTGGGGTCTTAAAAGCTTGCAAGCGGCCATCTAAGATGCATCAATTGGTCCCAACCCCCCTGGAGTAAAGGAGAATGAAGAACACCAAAGACACTAGGAAAGTATTAGTCCAAGAGACAGAATGGGCCACATAAACCAGAGACTTCATCAGCCTGAGACCAGAAGAACTAGATAGTGCCCAGCTACCACCAGTGACCGCCCTGACAGGGAATACAACAGAGAGTCCCTGATGGAGCAGGAGAAAGGTGGAGTCCAGAACTCAAATTCTGTAAGAAGACCAGACTTAATGGTCTGACTGAGACTGGAGGAACCCCAGAAAGCATGACCCCTGGATTCTCTATTAGCCCAGAACTAATACAATTTCCGAGGCCAACTCTTCAGACAGGGATTGGACTGGACTGTGGGACATAAAGTGATGCTCATGAGGAATGTGTCTCTTAGCTCAAGTAGATACAAGAGACTAAACAGGCAGCTTCTGTCCAGAGGTGAGATGAGAAGGCAGAGAGGGTTAGGAGCTGGTTGAATGGACATGGGGAATTAGGGGTAGAAAGGAAGAGTGTGCTGTTCCAGTATGGGGAGAGCAATTAGAGTCACATAACAATGTATGTGTAAATTTTTGTATGGGAGTCTAACTTGAAATGTGAACTTCATTTAACTACAACAATAAAAACGAGATGCCAGATCTCACTTCATACTGAATTATGTCATCCCACCTTTCCATTCTTACTCTGTACTCCTCCCTCTCTTCTTTATTCTGACATGCTAACTTCTTGGTCTCACCAAGTGATTAAGGTGAGATATTTATTTTATTGATATGGGGGTTTGAATATACTGGGCTACTGCACCAAGAAAAGCATTTATTAAATGATATCTACACAGTAGTTTTACCAAAAAAGGCATTTATTAAGTGATATCTCTGTGCCATAATACATTTAAAAGAATTTAAATCATGCAAGTATGGTCTCTGACCACAATGTAATAGAAATTAATAACAGAAAGACTTTCCTTAATCTAATAAAAGACATCTAAGAAAAATCTGTAGTTGGTATCATATTTAATGATGAAACACCGAGTAATTTCCTCCTAAGACTGGAAGCAAAATAAGGATGTTCACTCTCACCACTTCAGCATTGTACTGGAGATTATACCTAGGGCAGTAAAGTAAGAAAAAGAAATAAAAGGCATACAGATTGAAGGAAAGAAGTAACACTGGTTTCCTTTTGTTTTTTTTTGCCAGTGACATGGTGATTTATGTAGAAAATCCAATGGAATCTTAGCTACTAGAACTAAAATGTGAGTTTAGCAAGGTTACAGAATATAAGATCAATATACAAAAGTCAATTTCTCTGCAATACATGGGGTTACCATGAGTTGGAATATACTTGACAACAACTGAAAAACAAAATGATTTCTGTATACTAGCGGGAACACTTGGAAATAAAAAATATTCAATGCTATTTTCAATACCATCAAAATATGAAATACAGTAGTCCCCCCTTATCCGTGGGGGATATGTTTCAAGACTCCCTTGCATGCCTGAAACTGCAGGTAGTACCAAACCCTATATATACTGTGTTTCGTCCTGTACATACATACTTATGGTAAACTTTAATTTATAAATTAGGCATAGTAAGAGAGTAACAGCAATAACTAATGATAAAATAAAACAATTATAACAATATACTGTAATAAAATCTATGTGAATGTGGTCCCCAGGAGGGATGGAGCAGGACAGTGCAAGATTTCATCCCTCTACTCATTTAACGTTTTTGGCCAGTGGTTGACTGTGGGTAACTGAAACCATGGAAAGCAAAACCGTGGTTTGAATTCGCCCACAAGGGACTGGGCGGGGGTGAGGGTTGGGGTAAGGGGAAACTGCTGTACTTAAGGATAAATCTGACAAAAGACCTGTATGTTGAAAAGTACAAAATATTGCTGAGAAAAATTAAAGAAGACTTAAATAAATGAGAGAAATACCATGTTCATGGATTAGAAGACTCGATATTTTTAAGATGTCATTTCTTCCTAAATTGGTCTATAGATGCGACATAATCCAACTCAAAATCTCAGCTGGCTTTTTTTTTAAAATAAAAGTTGTTCATTCTTCAAAGAGATGGAAAAACTAATCATTAACTTTATATGGAATGGGAAGAAGCCCCGAATAAGTAAAGCACTACTGAAGAAGAAGAATAAAGTTGGAGGACTCACACTACCTGACTTCAGAACCTACTATACAGCTAC